CAAGTACAGGAGGTAATTGTGCTCAGCTGGTGGTCATTAGGCTCCTCTCTAGGCTATAAAAAAGACTGCTTGTGCACACGCCCCTCTTGCAGAAGTCAATGCATTGACTAAAGACAACTGTTGCAACTAACTTGACAGGCTGAATTGCTGCCAAGGTTTGTCTGAGTTGCTGCCTAGGTCCTTATCTGTTTGTTATGCTTGGCTTTCAGCCACCGAGGTTTTGGTTTCTTGCTATTAAAGTACATTCCAGTTAAGCTTGTCTCGGCTTTCGTTACTGGACAGAGGAGGGGGTCAGAACATCTACCTTTATTTCCTTCAGTCCCAAAGATGCTTTTCAAAAGACAACTGGACTTACTTGGTTTTTTTCCTTGAAAACATTTTGCTTGTCATCAAAAAAGCTTCTTCAGTTTTGAACTGAAGTGAAGGGTCTTCTTGGATGAGATGCAAAATGTTTTCAAGCAAAAAAACCAAGAAAATCCAATTGCCATTTGAAAAGCATCTTTGGGAGAACTATGATCTGGATGATTGAGAATCGCCATAGACCTTCAAAGGGCTGGGTGATGACACTCATCCCCTTTTCATGTGAATCTCCAAGATAATATTGCATAACTGAGTTAAAAACAGAACTATTTGTCTAAGTCTGCCTGCAATTTTCTTTATAACCTGATGATCCCTAGATTGACCACCATGACTGTTTATATTTACATACTGCTATGTCTTTCATCTGGGCTACAGACACTATTTCCCACTAAGCCACAAACTATAGTCTACAGCAATCATTAAAAATATATGAACTTTTGGAAATTTCAGCAGATGCTATGACTGATAACTATTGCAGATGTACTTGGTCTCTTGTAATAGCAAACTCCCTTTCAGATTGGAAGCCTTTTTTTTCTCAAGGAATGAAACAGGCTTCATTTCTGATACCCAAACCTGATATGCATAGAAACTTTGATGTCTTGGATTTATTACTCTGCTAGCCAAACTACAGAAACCTGTTGCTAGGTGAAGGCAAAATGTGGTTTAAATCCAGCTGTCAATGATGTTGTTTCTCAATCTTCAAGACTTTGCAATTGCTGGTGTACCTTACTCATTGATCTTGTTGAAGGGCAAGTGACAGGTTATGAAATGAAATAGGTTCCTTGTGAAAGAGTTATGTTGTTCATTATGTAAAGCTGCATCTATTGCACTTAATTGGAAGTCCCATCTCAGTTATAGCTCATTAAATAGTCATGTAGGAGCTGGATTCACATTTTCATTAAGACATAATATAGTTTATTTAGTTTTGGCTTGGCATGTTGCACAAACCCAATCACTGAGATTGATAAACCACAATTTATGACATTGTTTAAAAGAGAAAAAAAATTGGAAACTCTGTTTTATAACTCTTATCTGCATAATTAGAAAATCTTAATTCATTTTTAAGAAAGGGGAGTTAACAATATTACATACTTCTTATTAATAACCTTAAGATGTCTCACAGTACCTTAGCTTGGCTAAACTAATTTTTATGTCATTATATATTTTCTTTTAGCTAGAAGCTAATATCTTATTAGGGTTATGCCTCTTAGGCTGCAATCCTATATTAATTTAAGAGCAAGCTCCCATAAAAAAGCTACATAAAAAACTTTAAAATTCTGGCTTGTTATGAAAAAAAAATCATGTGTATTTTTTTAAAAACTAGAATTTAAAGTTCTATTTGTCTTAAAAACTCAAGACCAAAATGTTAGGAATTTGATACAGCTGGTTCCCACTTATTTGTTTTGCTAATCAAACCACTTAGATTTGGTTTTCTATTTCTATTCCTTTTGCCAACTGAACTATGTGCAAATTCAAATTTTCTGTATTTAAGATCTAAGCCATATCAAGTCAGCTAACTAAAAGGATAACCAGCATATTGCTATGCATAGCCTTTCCGTTGAGCTGACGTTATTTGCTCCTTGAGCTTTGTGAGTTTAAAAAAATCCTGGAAAAAGACTGTTTTGCCAGAGGAGAAAAGAAGTATCTACCAGCAGCAGGTGTCCACTTTATTAAAGAGTAGAACTGACAGACTGTCAGGCCTGCTTTTTAATCTGTTAGGAAAATGTCTGAATGATGTATGAGCAAAGGAAAATGCAGATACATCTCCGAATAAAAACTGCTTGAGAATGATAATCAGCACAGCCATCTTGACTACTTTAGTTGTTTTAATATAATAATTATACAATTTGCACACAATAACAAATCAAATGAAAGCGTATAAAGTGCCTGATTTCTGTGCTCTTCATTCAGCACTTAGTAAAAAGCATGAGCACAATGATACCATTTACAGCTAAAGAAATTAATATTAGACCAATACAAAATGTTCAGTGAGCAACATAATTAGTTTAAAAAGTAGATTTTGGGGACAGTCAAATGTTTAGCACCGAAATGTATCTTCCTCTCACCCCTACACAATGGTGTTTTAAACAACAACAACAATGAAGTATCACAGCTCTCTAGATTATCCCCAGCAAATTAGAAATCAGCATAGTATTAAATGTAAAGGTCCTGTATGCCTAAAAGGACTAATCTAACTTGTCCAATTCAGTTGCTTTTACAAATTCTTACATTATAAAGAGATTGATTGATTTATTGATTGATTGATTCATCTAATAGGCCACATAAGCTATTTTGCCACCATCTGAATTTCCATAGGTTGTTTCAGTCTTGCTCAGAATGATGTCTTAAGAGCAGAGATGGGTTGCCAATTTTTTTACTAGTGGTTCGGGCACGCTTCCCCATGCAACATGTGCTCACATGTGATGCTTCTGCATATGCGCAGAAGAATCCAGGCAGGTAGGTGGAGCCTCCCGCCACCGCTACTACTGGTTTGGCTGATCCGAGCCGAACCAGGAGCAATCCACCTCTACTTAAGAAGTGTTGGTCTATCAACAATGGGCAAAACACCTTGCAAGAGCCTTTCTTTAATCTCTACCTTCCTATCCTCTTTGCCAAAATTTCAGGATATCTCTGTGTAAAGAGTTCTATCTAAAAATTAGCACTGTATTAACCTTAGAGTAGCATATCTCATAGATAGTTAACATTGCCACTGTCTGTTCTTGAATGGACAAATATCTCTCTTCCTATAATTGGGGCACAGCAGAATAAGAATTNTGCTCTTCTCTATCACCGTTCCTTCAGAATGGTTTAGGTCGAAAATGGACCATCCAGCAACAGAGATATCGACAACAATCCTGGAGCTCCAAGATTGCATGACGTGTTGCGACATCAAAACCCGCCCCATAATGAAAATTATGAATAACATGCAGAGCAATCACACAGACTATCAACTAATTAATTTTTCATTAATTGTCTAAAATGTCATAGTGGAGAAGAAAGGAATATTAGAAATAGAAATAGAATAACCATTACCCTTGGATACCCATTGAAAGCATAGGCAATATTCAAGGAAAGCATCTTAGGGAATGAAAAAAAATGTTGAGAGAGAGCTGCCATAGATCTGAAATACAACATCTAAAGCCAAACTGCAGGCAATGTTTACAATGTCAGAATTCTCTAGAACTAATATATGTCAATGACCATTTCTTGTTGGCCATCCTATTTAATCCATGACAGACATAACTACATCTACAACTATATTCCTCAGCTGGACATCATCCAGTTTTGTCAATTTCAACAGTCAACAGAGCTTTGCCAACAATTTCCACAGTGTATCCAGTTTGGGAGAAACTATACATATTTCATGTTTTAATCAAGGAAATATATCCTGAAAAGAATTCTATTAAGGAAATTTAAGCACTGTGTTAATATAACTTGTTAAAATAATTAATGTTGAGAATATACACATTAAAACAATTGGTAAAGAAAATAACAAATAAAACAAACTCTAAAGTGTTAACTGTTTAAACAAGCCAAGAAAATGAATGTCATATGCTTGTGTATGGAACAGTGGATGTACTAGAGAAATAAAAGGATCTCTTGTATTGCAAATTACTACTTGGTCTTGAGTAATGATTTCTGTAAGAACAATAAGGAGCACGTATTGAATGAGGTCATTTTTAAAATTTTAATCAGTGGAGGAAGGACATCCTTTTCACTATTATCATCAAGGGGAAAATGTGTCAACAGTTAAGATCTGTTCCACCAGAGTTGTCCAGAACATTATTTTATTCCAAGCAACCTGCCAAGTCATTAATTCTGTTGTGTTACCTGGAAGTATATAGATTTTCAAGTTAAGTTGTCAGAATTATATCAACAAAAAATGCAAAGCACAGCTGTATGGAGACAGAAAGTCAGCATCACCAGACTTCTCTGTTAACTCTATTTATGTAATCTACTTAAGAAAANTTCTCTTGGACCTTGCTGCCCCTCCCGAAGTAGGTACACTGAGGAAATCCAGCTGTAACATGCTCTGATTTGCTTTCCTTCTTCTCATCTTGCAGACTTTGGGGAGATGGATCTGCCTTTAGAGGAACCTCCAACCCAGCCTCCCTCAGAACCACTACCCGCACCTCCAAATTCCACGCCGGTGTGTGAGCTCCAGACTGCCGTGTCTTGTTTTACAGAGGAGACGGTGTCTTTCCTCTCCGTCAATAGCTTGTTAAGCCAGTCCCTGCTCAGGGCAGCTGGCAGCCTGGGGGCCCAGCAGAAAGATCAAGGGGTGCCCTCAGCCATGGCCCGTCGCAAGCGTGAATTCACCCCAGATGAGAAGAAGGACGATGGCTACTGGGACAAGAGGAAGAAGAACAACGAAGCGGCCAAACGCTCTCGAGAGAAACGGCGGGTCAGTGATTTAGCCCTGGAGGGACGGGTTTTGGCCCTGCTGGAGGAAAACGCCCGCCTGAAGGCAGAACTCCTAGCTCTCAAGTTTCGCTTTGGCTTGATCCGGGATCCAGTAGATCAACCAGCACTTACCCTGGGCGGTGAACTCCATCGGTCAGCCACTCTGCCCCAGCACTTCACAGGGGCTCCTGAACTACCCCACTACCCTGGCACCTTCCACCCGGAGCCAGCTACCAGTTCTGAGGACTCTGGTTTTTCCACGCCAGGAAGCTCCAACTTGGGAAGTCCTGTCTTTTTTGAGGAGCGCGACAGGACAGAGGAAGGAATTATGTATGAGAGGCATTGCCTAGTCCCCGAGGCTTCCGCTGATGGAGCTGATCTGGGCCGTGTTGGCCGTTACGACTCTGGGGAGAGCGTCAAAGGTCTTCCCCACAAGTTGCGCTTCAAGATGGCGGTAGGGTCAGAGGAGATAGCTGGAGAACAATCTGGACATTGCTCACCTTCTTCACCAGGAGGAACATGGAGAGGGCTGGTGACACGGAAAGAACCACCAAGCACAGGGTGTTCTGCAGGTACCCTGGCAGTTGAGAGTACTTGTGAAACAGAAGTCCCCGGGGGCCCTCGAGAACCTGAGCCCCAGGCAGAGAACCGCTCCCTCCACTGTCAGCTGGCCTCCCTTTCAGCTGAAGTGGCCCAGCTGAAAAAACTCTTCTCCGAACAAATCCTCATCAAGATGAATTGAAGTGGGGAGGCAGGTAGAAGGAAAGGGGTCACTTTTCTCCCCTTCGTTTTTTCTAGGACTACCAAGTATTGGCTGCAAAAAATTGAATGACCACTAGATGGTAGGAAAGAGCTAACTTTTTATTCATTTCTTTGCTGCTGTATGAAGTGGTTCCACCACAAAACCGCGGTCGACTAAAGCGCGCTCGACGAAACCGCGTACCTGACGTCATCACAGCGTGA